TATATATATATATATATATATATATATATATATATATATATATACTTTATGTTTTGGATCATTGTCTTGTTGGAAGATAAATCTCTGTCCCAGTCTCAGGTCTCTTGCAGACTCAAACAGGTATTTTTCCAGAATGGTCCTGTATTTGGCTCCATCCATCTTCCATCAATTCTGACCATCTTCCCTGTCCCTGCTGATGAAAAGCAGGCCCAAACCATGATGCTGCCACCATCATGTTTGACAGTGGGGATGTTGTGTTCAGGGTGATGAGCTGTGTTGCTTTTAAGCCAAACATATCGTTTTGCATTGTGGCCAAACAGTTGGATTTTGGTTTCATGTGACCAGAGCACCTTCTTCCACATGTTTAGTGTCTCCCAGGTGCTTGTGACAAACTTTAAACAACACTTTTTATGGATATCTTTGAGAAATGGCTTTCTTCTTGCCACTCTTCCATAAAGGCCAGATTTGTGCAGTGTACGACTGATTGTTGTCCTATGGACAGACTCTCCCACCTCAGCTGTAGATCTCTGCAGTTCATCCAGAGTGATCATGGGCCTCTTGGCTGCATCTCTGATCAGTCTTCTCCTTGTTCCAGATGAAAGTTTAGAGGCACGGCCGGATCTTGGTAGATTTGCAGTGGTCTGATACTCCTTCCATTTCAATATGATTGCTTGCACAGTGCTCCTTGGGATGTTTAAAGCTTGGGAAATATTTTTGTATCCAAAGCCGGCTTTAAACTTCTCCACAACAGTATATCGGACCTGCCTGGTGTGTTCCTTGGTCTTCATGATGTTCTCTGTGCTTTGAACAGAACCCTGAGACTATCACAGAGCAGGTGCATTTATATGGAGACTTGATTACACACAGGTGGACTCTATTTATCATCATCAGTCATTTGGGACAACATTGGATCATTCATAGATCCTCACTGAACTTCTGGACTGAGTTTGCTGCACTGAAAGTAAAGGGGCCAAATAATATTGCACGCCCCACTTTTCAGTTTTTTATCTGTTAAATAAGTTTGACACATCCAATAAATTTCATTCCACTTCACGATTGTGTCCCACTTGTTGTTGATTCTTCACAAAAAAATTTAAATTTTATATCTTTATGTTTGAAGCCTGAAATGTGGCAAAAGGTTGAAAAGTTCAAGGGGCCGAATACTTTTGCAAGGCACTGTATTTCTTCCTGACGTAACCCTCAACAATCAAGTAGTTTTCAGGAGTTTTCTTTCAGTTGACAGAAGCTAAAATTCTCCATTTAGATCTTCACTAGTTTAAAAAGCCGAGTCCACTTCTAACTGTCTCTGTCCTCCTTCAGGGACCCCCCCGTGTCCAGCGAGGAGCTCCTGGTGAGCTGTGGTCTCCTGCTCTGTAAAGGTCTGGTGTCCCGCATGGACCTGGTCTCCATCCACCTGTCCTCCGGCCCTCGTCTCTTCTCCTTCCTGTCTCTGGCCTGGGGCTTTGTGGCGGACGTTGATGTCGAGAGTGAGAAGTACCGGCACCTCGGAGCAGCCCGGTTCACCGTGGGCACCCTGGTGAGGCTGGCTTCTCTCAGAGTCTATAGGGGGAAGCTGGCTTACCTGCCCGCCACCGGAGACTCCTCTGACCTCCAGCTGCCACCTCTGGACCAGCCAGTCCCAGGTGACTGGGTGGTGGTCCCAGAGGAAGACTTCATCCTCGTGTTGGCCATGTATCAGTCCCATCTGGCAGAAGACCTTCTGGCAGCGCCGGACGCCCGGTTGGATGACGGCACCATTCATCTCATGTACGTCAAGGCTGGAATATCTCGCACCGCGCTGCTTAGGCTGTTCCTAGCCATGGAGAAGGGCACACATCTGGATACAAACTGCCAACATCTGGTGCACAGTAAGGTGCGAGCGCTCAGGCTGGAGCCTACATCGCCCGAAGGGATAATCACCGTGGACGGGGAGGTGGTGGAGTACGGGCCGGTGCAGGCGGAGGTGCAGAGAGGCCGGTCGAGGATGATCAGCGGATGATCGCTGCTGTTTAATGAACTCGTTGTCTCATGTGAACTCTGACATCTGCATCTGTAAAACACAGGATGGGGAACTCCTTCATCGCTCCTCTGCCCAAAGAAAACCGTTTCATCTGAAGATGCTGAGATGTTGGAGGTGACTGCAGCACCGACCGTTCACGACAAACTCATGACATCATGTCCACACTTGTATGTAAAGGGTTCAACCAACATCTGCCCGTTTCACTCATTTTAATCAAACTAATCCTGACGTGTGAAGAAATCATTCAAGTCTGCTCAAAGACCAACTGTAGCCAAAGAATATCCAGCTGTGATCTGGACAGAAGTTCCTCCTACGACCCTGTGGTTCAGAGGTAAATATTTGATACTGAACACGCTGCAGCTGTCGGAGCAGACGGGTTTGATCTCAAGTCAAAGCTTCGATGAGACCTGAACCAGCAGCAGAGGATCAGTTCTTTAGCTTTCCAGCTGCTCTGCAGAACAAACTGTGTAAAACGTAAAGATCCAGATGTTTGAGAGGAGCAGGAGTAACAAAACATGGTTTAAACATGGTTTAATATTTATTGATGCGTATCATCCATCTGTCCATTTGTTCTGCAGTGTCCACAGGAATCATGTCATTATTTAAAGAGTAGAAACGCAGCGATCGATCCTGCGGATCCCGGGATCCACTTCAGGCTCTGACCTGTAGAATCTGAGGAACCACTGAGTAGCTGCTCCAACAAAAACCAACTAGACTGAGGAGTGTTCAGAGGGGAGGTGCTGCACCTCCCTTCATCCATCAGAGCGTGCCTGCATGTCCTGCCGTCAGTGTTGTGTTCACACACGCACGCACGCACACACACACACACGCACACACACACGCTCTCATCACCGAGGTGTCCTTAACGTAGAGCTTTAGAAGACAATGGTTCATGTCTGTGTTTAGATGGAACAAAAAGGCTGAAGTGTTTGTGAAAAATAAGCACAGAGGAGCTTTAAATGGGTGGGGGTGGGGGGGTGTTACAACAGGTTTTAAGTGTAGGGAGGGGAGTAAAGGAGGAGGAGAGGGAGGTGAAATATTGATGTGTTAAATGCTGCATGAGGTTATGTAGTTGTGGTCTGGTCCTCCTTCCTCCTCACATCAAGTCTCAGTGAAGGGGGGGGGGGGGGGTGTCTGACAGGGACTTGATTTAAATAAAATTAAATCTATCCAGGAAACTGGATTTTCACACGTGGAGGTGCTTCAAGCCACGACAAACGTGCAGATATTTATTTTTATGCAAACGATGCAACAAAGACTAGCCGACTGTTTTAGAGACCAAATGTCATTTTTCATTGAAATAAAGTTTGATGTTTTTGTGACTCGCTGCCGGTCTCCTTCTGAAGGATTGTGGGTCTGGTAAGGCCCTTGATGAAGACCTGATGAAGACCGGTCTGTGCAGGACTCGCCGTCCTTCCCAGCTCTGATCCAACCTCCTGCAGGAGACCTCCTGCTTTAAAGCTGATGAACAAAATGAAGAGCTGCAGTTGTTTTCTTTTTTATGCAGACCCAGATGTTTGCGTGTCCATTGATGTGCCTTGAATCTGCTGCCACCTGCTGCTTGTGTTACGACACTGCACTCAGTTGAGCTGATTAAATGTTGGTTCATCTTGTCTAAGAATCAAACAGTTTCTGTCTGAGTCAAAAAGGATCTAAAGCTGTGTCGACAACCTTCATCTGTTTCATGTTTATGCTGAAGGGAAATGAGTTTCATGTTTTTCTGCAACACCGACGATTGAATGATTGTACCCACAGAGAGAAATCTTATTTTTATTTAGAGAAATATCTGTTTTTTTATGATTGAATCAAATGTTCTGCTTGAGATTGAACTTAATAAATGAGAAACGACCCGCCTGTGGTCCACTTCATGTGGTTTGTTCTGATTTTCTGTCACTCTTGGTTCCTTTAAAGCCCGACAGTAAAGATGCACATCTGTTTGTTAAATTTTATGATTTTAGGCTTAAAAAGAAAAGATACGCAGCAAAAAGCAGAGCGGTTCAGATTATTATTAAACAAATTAAATACATTTTGAATTAGGCTGTGACTTGTTTAACTTTACAACTGATTTAAATTTTGGAGTTAAATTGATTCAAGATGGCCGTCAAAGCTAAATGACCTTGCAAAACAGATGTTTTTAATAGTCAGTTTTACAGATGAGCTAAAAACTAACCTGGTTGTAGTTGAACAGAACGGTCAGGGGTGGGAATTTTTTTTTTTTTTTTAAAAGGCCAAATCAGGACGTTTAAAACAATTGAACGGCCACACAATAATCTGAAATATATTTATACATTCATAGGCTTTCTTGCATGCTCTATAAAACAACCCCCCCCCCCCCCCCCAGTCTGACTCTTGTGACAATGTGTTATTCTAAATATGCAACAAAAAAAAAGTTCAGTTCTGGAAACAACAAAGTAAAGTTTGAGCCTCGTTCTAAAAGTTTGTCCAAGATGTTTAATTTAAACTTCCTTAATATCCTGATGCATGATCAATAATCCAGGTAGAAAAACCAAACAAAGTTCAGTCAGGTCCTCTGGACGGATTCTTCTTGTTGAAACGTTTCGTCTTTTATCCAAAGGACTTCAGTCTGAGGAGCTGCAACAAACTCAGTCTTATAAATAGCACCTTCTCATGTTGGATCAACCAGTTTGCTGCAGACAGCCAGAACTACCGGTAGTTGTTCACGTGTAAAATGAGGTCCATCCTTTTGGCCAGTGGCTGTTTAGTTTCCATGATGTAAGACTGATCACCTTCCTGATACTGAACAGCATACACAATATTACTCTGTGCCGGGGGACTGGATCTTTGGGATGAACCAGTCTTTAATTTACTGTGGTGTTTAAAAGCCACTGGGACGTTGTGTTTAGAAAATAAACGTCTCAGTTTCTCTGAAACTCCCACAACATACAGAACGGCCACTGGTCTGACTGGGTTTATTTTCCTTAAACAAAAAGTCACGAACCACCTTAACGTTCCTCCAACAGAACTGAGGATCTGCTGGGAACTACTTTCAGCAGCGGATTCACACACGGCTGAAATCAATGATTTTTAATGAAGGACACGGGCTGGTTCTGGTTCTGCTTGCAAACTTTATTCCATCACTACACAGCTGTGTGAAAGCAACAGAAGTAAACCATAAAAAAAGAAAAGTAACACTTCACACTCCGCAGGCGTCCATATACTCTGTATGATCTATAGTCATGGTGTCTGTACAGAGGGAGGCAGGCTACAAATTATAACTTTATTTTGAAATATATCAACAACAGGCCACTGTGGAAATGTAGACATCGTACAGTCAAGTCTTAGTGTAGCCCGGTCGAGGCTTAAAGCGACGTGTTGCATGCTTTGGCTGGAAACAAAAGTCTCGCAGGAACAACAGGAATGATTCCAGAAATGTACACGGGCTGGACCTTCACTGTGAGCTTCAGATTCTGCTGCTCGCACATCTGTGCTACAGCTACACCTCCGCCCTCCTCTGTGAGCTTTAAAGGGACAGTTCAGACATTTCCAAACATTTCCTTAGAAAGGTTATGAATGATAACATCTTACCTGCTGTAGATAGATCTTTCAACAACCTTAATTAGAAAAAAACTATTTAATAAGAATTTAGCTTTGCTTTATTTTACACTTAATGTATCCAAACTGAGGACAATCAAAGAGCCATCTACAACAGGTGAGATATTAATTGTTCAGAGTTGTTCCATAGAACCACACACTAAAATGCCGACCCATCCCTTTAAAGTCAAATCTAAGGAGACAACATGACAGCATGGTCTGGTACAGCAGTGGGGGAGAGGAGGGAAATGGAAGACGAAGCAAAACAACAAACACTCGTCTTTTTGTCTTTTTTTATCTCCCTCTAAGTGGCAGCGGCTCCCGGCTCGAGGTTCACAGTGCTCTCTGTCCAACGCTCGGCGCTCAGAGGTTCAGATAAGATCAGAACAAGCAATCAGTGAGTAAAGTGGAGACAGTTACATGTTTGACAGGATGGAAAATGCGAGACGTGGTTTATAAAGATGTAAACAAAGACGGTGATCTCCTCTGGAAGCTCCAGGAGGCGAGTTTCACCACAGTCTGCAGCAGAGCAGCAGCTTCAGGATCTAAGAGGGAGAATTAAACCCCGAGCTCTTCTGGTTTTCATCCATAGTTTTGCTGTGAGCTCTGTTGGTTTCTGAAGTTGTTTTTGGATAAAAACACTCGGCTCAGGGAAAGCCTGAAACAACAGAAGCTGGAAATAATAAAGACAAGAACAGTTTCTGTTCTGACGGTGAACTGATGAGATGCTCAGAGGAGGAGGATAAAAAAACACCGCAGCACGACGAGTGAAGGACCGAGATCAGACAGAATTCAAGTAAGGCAACATGTTGACATGAGATGATGGAATGGATGCTCAAAGTTTCTTTTCTCCAGTTGATCTTTAATCTGTGTCATAAGCAGCAGTGTGTGTTTACATCCTTCAAACAGGAGAGGGGCGTGGTGCACACATTTAAATGAGCTCTGATAGATTTTACCAAAGGTGGATGTGGAGGTGACAGCTGGCCTCTGAACACCAACCAGATCTACCAGTCTGTCCACAGAGGCCATCCAGGGGTCCAGCAGGGGTCATGAGGATGTAAACTTTGTCACTCGAGTGAAAACAGCTGAAAGTGTCATGGAGGAAGTGCTGAAGCAGCTGTGGTTGGCAGTTTTCTCCACATTCAGCCTGTCCTGCTCTGTGTGTGTGTGTTTGTGTGTGTGTGTGTGTGTGTGTTTGTGTGTTTGTGTGTGTGTGTGTTTGTGTGTTTGTGTGTGTGTACGCAGAGGGATTTGGCAGACAGGGTAAGGATCCTGAGCGTCATCCCTGCTCGGTCCTGACTCGCCACCTTTCCTTGATGTGGTGCAGGATGCTCCAGCGATGACTCAGCAGTGCTACAGAGAAGGTGCAGATGACTCAGCAGTCTGAAGGAGCTGGACCCTGCAGTGTGTTCACAGGGTTGAATTGGCAGCGTTGTTAAGCCCCACCCATAACATTTGGCAGAGCGCCAAAGGTTAGTTGGATGACGAGGGAGCAGAGGAGGTCATGGCACTGGTCCTTTAGACGCCCCTTAAGTCGAGGTTCTCGTGAAACTCTGAGCCGCTCCTGCAGGAGCTTTGATCTGCTGCTGCTGTACAAAGATGGGGGTTTTCACCATGTGTGCATGTGGGGCCACCCCACTTTTATTCATCCCACTTATCTGAGGAGTCACTGAAGGAGAGAAAGAACAAATGAACGTCCAGACCAGCTGATCTCCAGCTTTAAGTCAGTGTGTTGTGGAGATGAGGGCAGCAGGAGCAGAAAGGCTGAAAAAAGGAGGTGAGGGATAAAAATGGGGGCAGTGCAGGGACACAGTGCAGTTCTGGGCGAGGTACAGGTTGAAGCCTCCCACCCTGACTAGTAGGTATGGATCCTCCTTCAGGGTTTGAAGTGAGTGAAACAGGTAGAGGAGAAGCAGGAAAGGAGAGCAGGGAGCAGTGCAAGAGTGTGTCAGAGGCACTTACTTGTCCTCGGTGTGCTCGGGGACGCCGGCAGCAGTTAGCGCGGCTCGGTACTGCAGCAGAACACCTCGAACACTTTTCACAAACCCCTTTGAGAGTGGGAAGAGAGGGAAGCCGATGTCTGGGTACCCGCCACCTTCAGGGAGGAAACTCCGGTAACTCTTTCTCCTTTTCTTTGGTCGCACCACGGGCTGGCTACCTGAAGAGCCCACCCCTCCTGCACCTGGACCTGAATCTGACGTCACACTGCGTCCTGCGGAGCCAAGAACCGTGGAGCCAGCTTTGTTCTCGCTCTCTTGGGTGCTGTCCCAGTCTGAGTTCTGGCTCAGCTCCTGCTGAGGGGGAGCCGTGGTCGAAGGACTCAGTCCTGAATCTTCCAGTTCCTCCTCCAGAATACTGCTAACTCCTGTCCCTGCCTCCTCACCAGGCTTACTGGGGCTGCTGTGGGCCACTGCCACCAGTCCCGAGCCCACGGGCAGCTGCTCGTCTTTCAGATGGTGGCTCCTGTAGTACGGGTGTGCTGCATGGCCCCGCTCGGCAGCCTCATTCAGCTCTAGCCACGCTTCCAGATGGTGCACGAGCCGCCAGCCGCTGGAGGCAAAGTGCTCCTGGATCTCCTGCCTGAAGACCTCCACGGGGCGCTGGAGGAGCTGCGTCATGGACTGCACCATCTTGATGAGAGCCATCTCGTTGTAGCAGCGGCTGTTCTCGTAGCCCTCCTGAAGGCCGCGGTCACTGTCAAAGCCGGCCTCGTTGTAGTACGGCTCGTTGACGAGGATGAGGCCTGCAGGCAGAAAATCAGTAACTCAAACATGTCTGACATACACTGGTTTGGGTGTTTTTGCAGATGATATGAGTGATCACTGTGTTGTTGGTGCTGTAAGAGATGCTAAAATGCCTCGCTCCAAACACAGAATAATTCTAAAATGGAACAAAGCATTTTAGTGAACAGGTCTTCCTTTGGGACCTGTTCATCTTTGGCACCTCTGTCTCCCCATGTCAGTTGTTGTTTATGTTGTTTTCTTGGACGGGCTGTACTGAAAATGTAATTTTGTTGTGCTTCGGTTCAATGACAATAAACCTGATTGCAATTCAATTTTGATTGGAATTGTATTTTACTAATTGAAAATGTGAACCTTGCTTCAAACTATCTTCACAATACTTTCATTCACTTTGTAAATAAACATGCTCCTTTTCGCCAGTTCAGAATAAAAAAAAAGGACACAGCCCATAGTTTACTCCAGAGTTAGCTGATCTCCTGCACAGGAAAGATCAGCTTTGGGCAACAGCATGCCTTTCTGGTTCAGATACTGATTGAATGTAATTTGGTCAGCTACAGAATCATTATACAGCTTCCATTAAAGCTGCAAAATGTAGTTATTATTTATCTCAGAGCACCAAAGATCTAAATGACCCTAGGAGATTCTGGAAAACAATCAAATCTCTTTCTGGCAGCTCTCACTCATCTGAAATGCCATCACAAGTATTTGTTAATTCTGTTCCCGTGTCAAATGAGCATGAGATCCTAAATTGTTTCAACATACATTTTGTTGACTCTAGCTCCTTATTTGCCACAGTTACTAATGGAAAACCATCTACTTCTACAAGCCAAACATTTACAAATCAAACCTCTCCTTTATGTTAATCCTCAGAAAACCACACCTTCTTATTTTCACAGTTTTCTTGTTAGTGAGGTTAAAAAAACTGTTAAATGATCTGGACCCCAGACAACCTGCAGGCCCTGATGACCTTCCTCCTTATTTCTTAAGACTAGCTGTACAAAGCATTGCAGAACCGGTGTCCCACATCTTTAATCTGTCCTTAAGCCAAAATACCGTTCCAAACGCTTGGAAAACAGCTTTTGTTCTACCTTTGCTGAAGGGAGGAGACCCCACTATACTGAACAACCATCGACCAATCTCTAAACTCTACATTCTTGCTGAGGTTTTAGAAAAACTGATAAACTTTGAAATCAAGAAATATTTGGATTCTTTTAAGATCTTATCTTCCCATCAATCTGGCCTCAGGAAACAACACAAAACAATGACTTCTTCGTTGAAGGTTTTTAATGCACTAGATGCCAAGGATTATTGTGCACTTTACTTAGACCTGTCTAAAGGTTTTGACACTGTGGACCATGACATCTTATGCCCTAAACTCTCAGAAATTGGTTTCTCAGACCACACCATCGGTTGGTTTTCTAATTATCTCTCAGGCCGAAAACAATGTGCTCAACACAATGGTTCTTTTTCCAGCAATTTAACTGTCAATAATGGCGTACCACAAGGCTCAGTCTTAGACCCACTATCTTTACAATCAATATAAGTAATGTTGGTCAGAACATTCCTAAAGCATCCTTGAATTTCAGACAATACAGTTGTTTACTGTCGAGCTAAAACAGTTGCTAAGGTTTTCTAGCTTTTAGAGTCTGCATTTGACACCATTCAGTCAGACTTGTTCCATCTCAAACTGGTGCTAAATGCTGATAAAACCAAAGGGATGTTGTTTTCAAACAGGAAGTTGGTACAAACAGTCCTTCCTCCTATTTTAACTACAAAAGGTGCTCCTATTGAGTTTGTGGATTCTTACAAATACTTGGGAATCTTGGTTGAAACACAGCTCTCTTAAGCTACAAGTTGAAAATTTGATAAAGAAACTGAAATTAAAATTGGGTTTCTTTTTCAGAAAAAGGTTTTGCTCAACTCTGAATGTTAGGAAACGCCTTGTAGCTGCCACTTTCCAACCGGCCATCGACTATGGTGGCATTATCTACACGAATGCTCCTGCAAGCACCTTGCAGATGTTGGATGTTGTCCACCGTGGGGTACTAAGACTCATAACTGGTTGTAACTACCGCAACCATCACTACACTCTTTGCTGATTGATCAGTTTTAAACAATTGTTAAGTTTAATGGAAAAATCACTGCAGACATGTTCCTGTTTTTCGTATTTTACCTTGTTTTATAATGTAGCTTGAATTTATTTTGTTTTATAAAGCTCCTTTGATTTACTTGATATTTTGTATGCATTTTATGGCTATTATTGTTGTATGTACCTCATTGTGGTTTGTCTGAACAGGTCTCTCTTGAAAATGAGTCCTCGTGACTCAATAAGAGTAACCTATACAAATAAAGGTTGAATGAAAAAAAAGAAATAGCCCGACCTAAAAACAACGAAAAACTCTTCAGACCAGAATGCAGTGAAGGTTTATAGAAGGGCTGTTGTGTCTGAGTGTGAGGCAGATTTATTTAGTCAAAGCGTCGACTCAGACGCTGCACTTCTGAGCAAATGAACGCATGAATAAAACATTTTCAGCTGCAGAGATGAGAAGAGGAACAGTGTGTCTAACCTTGTATGGAGATGAGGACTTGCAGCAGGCTCGACTTGCTGGTCCATCTCTCAGTTCCCTGTGAGTCACAGCACCAGAACAATCAGTTTAAAAGAGGATCAGACTTTAACTCTGTAAATGGACCCCCCTCCCTGACAGCCCAGCAGGACCCACCTTTCCGATCCAGGTGCCCAGCAGGCTGACGCAGACCTTGCCGTTGTCGTACAGGTTGGGGTTGAGGCGCCCGCTGCACTGGGACAGGTAGCGGAACAGCGGAGGGACTGCTGGGTAAATGTTGGGCAGCTGGATGTCGAAGAGGAACAGCCCATCCTCGTAGGGAGTCCGAGTGGGTCCTTTGATCAGAGCCGAGAACAAGTCCTGCAACACGAGGAGAGGAAAATAAACATTTGAGAAAGAAAAAGAAAGAACTAAAATATATTAATTTAAAATTGCCCTATTTATATTTAGACTTGCTAAGGTTGAATATTAAATTAGCTGTTTATCTGTTGAGAAACATTATTGTACCATCGTCCCAGACAGGTGCACCTCTGCCCATCTCCACTTCTAAGAGATTCAGCCTTTCTAAAAGATTTTTCATATCCAGTCCTCTCACTGATCTGTTGTCAATAAAACCAAAATGCTTCTTCAGCTCTTTGTTGTTGTTGTTTGTTTGGTGACTGTGGCTGAGTGGTTAGAGCAGTCGTCCTCCAATGCGAGAGTTGGGGCTTCGAATCCACCAGCAGTCACATGCTGAAGTGTTCCAGGGCAAGACACTGAACCCCTCATAGCCTCTGATGTGTGTCCCATTGGTGCATGAATGTGATAAAGCTCTGATTAGTCTCTTTAGAACGATTTGTTCAATTAGCTTTGTAGAGATCTAGTAAAGTTCTGTATGAATGAGTAAATGAGGACACAGATTGTAGTGTAAAGCGCTTTGAGTATCTTGAAATAAAATAGAAAGGCGCTATATAAATACAGTCAATTTACCATTTATTATCACTTACATTTACAGCCTTTTGTTGACCCATCCCAACAATCAACATTGCCTCGATTTTTATTTCTTTTAAACATTTATTATGTTCACTATGTTCCATTGTGAATAAATTATTGCTTTAGAGGATTTGTGAATCTTTGCATTCTGGTATTATTGAAATTTTACAAAATGTCCCAAGGTTTTCTGAATGGGTGCCATGTTTAACCTGTATGTTCGTCTTAAAGCTCAGATATCAGTAAGAGTCAGAGATGAGGGTTTCCTGAGTCCGTCCATCATCTTCTGCTTGTTCTTAAATCAGGTTGCCGAGTTGAATGCCTTCTACAATTCCACAAAACACATGTAGACTGGATGGCCAAACTCTCATGACCCCTCAAGGACCCTAGTGAGGGTAAAGAGCTGGTCCAGTGTTCCATGAAACCTACATTGTTCCTCCTGGATCTGCGGAGGTTCGACCAACGATCGGACTTGCTTCTCCAGTACCCCTGAATAGACTTTACCAGGGAGGCTAAGAAGAGTGAGCCCCCTAAAACTGGAGCATCCCCCTTTTTGAAAAGGGAAACCACCACCCCAGTTTGCCAATCCAGTCAAGTAGGCATCTCTGCAGACAAATTCGGAAGGCGTATCTGGGGGGCCACATCTGATTGGACGAGGCGTATCCCGGGGGCCACATCTGATTGGACTATAGGCAAATGGGCGTGTCTGGCGGGACACATCTGATTGGACGATAGAAAAATGGGAGTGTCTGGCCGACCACATCTGATTGAACGATAGAAAAATGGGCGTCTGGCCGGCCACATCTGATTGGATGATAGAAAAAAAGGCTGAACAATAAAAAGCCGTTTGTGTTAACCACAGACACATTGTGTCTAAAAACAAGGCGTTATTGGCAGATTGTGTTAACCACAGGCATCTTATGTCTATGGTGTTAACCTGTTCGAGATTAGCAGCGTCTCGGTTCGACATTAGCGGCGTCTCCATAACTTCTCTTTCCGCCTCTCTTAACACAGAACTTCCGGTTACATTTCAAAATAAGAGCAACATAACTGGGTAGTGGGGAGAGCTAAATGTTTTGTTTTTTTTAATACCTAGCAATAACATTAAAAAACAAAATCAATTTTGGTTGTTGAAAAATGTGAAAATTGTTACAATTGATTCATAAAGAAAGAAAAATATTAATGATACTTAAATTGGCCTTAGGACAAAGGATGTTGCCTTTAACTTCACATTGTCTTGTTCAACTTTTAAAACAGTCACTGCAGATGAGTGATTGTCAGTTTCTGTAAGATTTCTGTAACTGGAGCAGATATTTCTGTTTACTGGTTCACATTCTCAGCTGTCTCAGGTTTTAAGGGTCAATCCTACTCCATGTTTCGCCCCACTCTGGGCCCATGAGCAAGGCCCTTAACCCCCACCATGTGCTCCCTAAACAGGTCTCTCTTGAAAATGAGTTCTCGTGGCTCAATGAGACTAACCTGGATAAATAAAGGTTAAATAAAAATTAAATAAAAATGTTTCAGCTCCTTTCATAGATCGATTTCAGAGAAGAACTTCTAAAGAGCAAATTTTGTTTTTAGCGTTTGTTTTGGGCCATTATCTCGACATAGGACTCATGAACTTTAATTGAGACCAGACTTTTGGACAAATGGGAGCAGGTTTCGCTTCAGATGCTTCATGTTTCATTGTACCCAGACCACACTCAAGGCAACCTGTGTCAGGAGAAGCTTACAACCAAGAACAAGAGAATCTTCTTGTGTTTGACAGTAGATTTAACGCTGGTTCTTAGAAACTTTCAGTTTTAAAAAAGAGCTCACGTAACTTAACTAAAGAGCTTGACTAATACAGCTAGCCAATCAGTGTTTGCCCCCCACAAACGCCTATTAGCCAGAAACGCCCACTTTTGGCCTGCAGAGAACACCTTCTCAATCCAGTGGCATTGCCCCCGATGTCCACACAATGTTGCAAAGGCGTGTCTGCCAAGACGACCCCACAACATTCAAAGCCTTAAGGAAATCAATGCAGAGCTCATCCACCCCCAAAGCCCTGCCACCATGGAGCTTTCTGACTACCATGGTGACCTGAGCCACTGTTATGGACAAACCAACCTCAGAGAGGCCGTTCCTCCCACTCACACCACTCCAGGTCACACTGTGACCACCCACGTGGGCCTTGAAATCCCCTAACAGAATAAAGGAGTCCCCAGCTTGAGCAGCTTCTAGGACCCTCAATAAGGACTCCAAGAAGGCTGAATATTCTGAGATGTAATTTGGCGCGTAGGAACGAACAATCGTCAAAGCCCGTTCCCACACCCCAAGGTGCAGGAAAGGTTTCCTCTCATCTACTGGGGAAAACTCCCAACACACAGGCACCGAGTTGTTGGGCTAAGAGTAGACCCACACCAGCACGGCACCTCTCACCATGGGCCATGCCAGAGTGGAATCAGGTCCAGCCCCTCTCAAGGTGATTGGTTCCGGAGTCCATGCTGTGCATCAAGATGAGCCCAACTGTATCTACCGGTAGTTGGTACCTCTCAACCTCACACACAAGCTCAGACTCCTTCCCCACCAGAGAGGTTGCGTTCCATGTCCCAAGAGACAGCTTTGGTAAGCCAGGGTCAGAGCGCCAAGGCCACTGCCCAGTGAAGTCATGCACCTGACTCGTATGGCCCCTCCTGCAGGTGGTGGGTGTAAAGTAAGGCAAACCCATGTTGCTTGATCAGGCTGAGCCCGACCGAGCCCCATGGGTACAGACCCAGGCAACAATGAACAGAAACACGCATAAAAAAAGTTTAGTAAAGTTATCTAAGGAAGCAGCAGATTGTGTTGAATGTTCACTTTGTCGCAGTCTCCCATTAGTATTATTCTGACCATGGCCACTGGTTCTGTCTTGGTTTATTGGTCATGTTTATTGAAGCCTGCTTCACCTGCTGGTGACGTCTTTTAACACACCAACTAACAAACCATCCAACATGTTCCTGTGATACCTAACAAAAAGAAAAAGGGGTAAAAGTTGATCGGATTCAACAGCGGGTGAGACTTGACTGGTCTTCAGCTGCTCTGTAACTCCGGCTACAAACATGTTTGCCATCTACCCATAAATGCTAATTATCACAGTCAGGTGTGTTTTGTTTATTCCTCAGCTGAAGCGTTTGGTTCAGTACAAACTCGTGTCTGTTTGTATTGTTATTTTGGCTCATTTGGGCTCTTGTGAATACTCAGCTGTACCTTGTTGTAGATCAAACAACCAAAACAAAACATTTAGGTCAAATGTCATTTAGCTGTCATTTGTGGTGCAGAGAAAAAAAATCTCTGTACATTTAGCACAATTTTAAAACCTAAACTACTCCACACCCTTTACCAGTGGACTGAGAGAGGCATGCTGGGTAGGTGGAATGGAAACTTTCTCTCAGGCAGCCAGATGGCCAGATGCATCAATATTTGATTATCTGACTTCACTTTAAGCTTTAAACTCTGCTAATCTAAGCAATCACACTATTAGCAAAGTGCTAAATTTTAAAATTATTTGTGTTTTTTGTCCTCATTTTCCAGGAGAAACATCTTGATGGCTGAATATCACCACTAATCATTTCCACTGTGTTCAGTAAGAAACAAAGAACACATTTGTCAGATATGATGCTCAGTTTATTACTCTTATAAAACAAAATTAATATATTTTGGGAGGACAACTCCTGACGGCTGGGTATCGACTACATTTATTACAGGTGGGGGAACTGATGTGGATCCAACAGCATCCATCCAATTTGACATCATGACCGATGGAAACAACAGGGTTGCTTCAAGGCCAGCAATCAAACATAATGAATAAAATCAGTGAATATGATGAATCACAGGCTGTGTGTGAACCGGCAGGTGATTTCTGCTCAGTTTTATGTGTCTGGTGTCAGCTGTAATGACATCATAAACTACGATCGCTCTGGATGATTTAGGGTGACACCACCTCCTGTCAGCAAATGCTTTTCCATCCATTAACAAAAAAACTTCCTATTTCACATCATCACTTCTAGCTGTGTTAGATGTTGTCTGACTGAAAAAAGAAAAGATTCACTGAAGCTGGAATATCCCATATTAAGCTGGCCATGATGATTAACTGGTTTTATCTCTTGAAAGTTGTTTGTCTCTTCAGCTCAGTCCACTTACAGTCGCATGCATACATTTATTCAAAGTGTATGACGTCATACTGATCAACCGTAACATACTTTATCCAGCCAAGTGTGAAGTACATCACTGATGCTGGATTTGTTGAACACATTACTTTGCTCATCATCTTCACGTGACTGTTTTGATTTGCTCTAATTTTTTTATTTTTAATCACAGTTAGGTTAGTCAGTTTTACTGTAGCAAATTCTGAGAGGAAAAGTGTAAATGTATTTAACTGCATGTGCCGAGGAGGTCGCCTGGTAAGAACTCTGAGGTGTTGGTGAACTCACCATGCGGTCCTCGAAGGTTTTCACCATGATGCCATCGGGCAGCGACGTCGCCAGCAGAGCCATTTCCTTCCTCACTGTGCTGAAAAACTTCTTGGGCTCTGCTGGCTGAAACTCAATTTTCTTAAAGGAGTGAGTCTCTGTTGGAGGAAAGGAGAGAATAAACATGTCGCAGACAAAACGTCACATTTATTTGAACTACCCATCATGTTCCATGGAGTCTGGAAAACGCCTCGTGCAGAGAAAGACTGGAGTCAGAGCCGGTATGTGCGCTGGATTATGATGTCTGGACGTGTCCGTGTCTCACCTGGAGCCCACTCGAGCACCGAGAACACCTCCCCCTTGGCGCTGGTGAAGGTGACGCCAGGTTTTCCTCCGCTCTGTTGGCACAGTACTGGTGTGTCACTGAGAATCTCACTGGGCCACTCCTGCCCCCCCACCGGTGTCTGCGGCTCCTGCTGAGGCTTCTCCTCTCCGCCTCTCTCTGCCTGAGAAGCAGCACCAGCCGGTCAGACACCATCCAGAGACAGGAAGCAGCATCACTGCAGTCAACACTCCTACCTCAGTCCCCACGCTCCCGCTGCCAACGGCCTCCACCACGGCCTCCATCTTCTCCTCCTCCACGATGGCCACGGTGTCCAGTGTCTTCCTCAGGTTCTCCTGCAGCTTTTTGATGTCGTCAAGGAAACGCTTCTCTTTGGTGGGCTTTTCTGAGGCTGCCAGCACCACCGAGCTCGCTACGTGGGCTGTGGATGAAGGTTCGGCAGAGGTCGGGGAGGTTGGAGAGCCGCCGGTCCACAGCTGCTCCACCGTCATGTTCTTCAGGCTCTCCAGGATCTTCAGAGCTTCTTTCAGCTCCCTGAAGCCTCGAGCGGCACCGTCCTTGCTGGTCTTCTCTGTTCCATTTACAGCTCCTGCTGGAGTTGTTCCTACACCGGCAGAAAGAGGATCTTTACCAGAGAACCGAGACAAAACACCTACACAACAAAAGACGACACATGAAACCAACCAGTGCTTGGTTTCTCACTGAAAACCAGAAGTCCACAGAAGATTTCATGATATGTATTTTTATTGAGGCTTCCCTACCTCCAGATGTAGGATTGGCTACAGATGCTTCTCCCTCCTGGGCGGGGGTTCCTTTGGTGGGGCAGGTGCTGCTGTCCTGTGGGGGGATGATAAAAGCTGTGGAGCCGGTGGGGGTGGGAGTTGGGGTGGCTGTGTCTGTGGCGTCAGCGTTGTGGTTATCGTCCTCAGTGGTCAGGCCGTTGTCCGTCTCCCAGCTGTCGCTATCGTCCTCCCACTCCTCAGTGGACAGGACGCTGCTCGTCTCCTCCACAGAGTCGTAGTCCGTCTCCTCGATCTCAGACTCCACGTTGTAGAGATGCTGCGTCAGAGTTTTCAGACGTCACAGCTTGCACTCCTCATGCAAACATGTTTGTACTGTATCCTGATGCATGCTCAATAATCCAGGTAGAAAAATCTAAAAAAGTTAAATCTGGTCCTCTGGACATTCAAAAAAACAAAACAAAGCAAAACAACAACAAAATGTAGAAACGTATCACTCAGCCCTCTGTGAACAGTAAACAGCCATCAGTGTGCTAATGATCCATTGTTAGGCTGATGGTCCTTCTTAATCATGTGATCAGCTGGTTTTGGTTGTCAGCAGCAAACTGGTTGATCCACTCTGAGAAGGTGCTATTTAAGAGACTGAGCTGAATACAGCACCTCAGACTGAAGAAGTCTCTCGGATGAGAGACAAAACGTTTCTACATTTTTTTTGTTGTTTTGCTTTGTTTTTTTGAATGTCCAGAGGACCAGATTTTACTTTTTTAGATGTTTGTACTGTCTTAGAAAGAATAGTCACCTGTGGCAAGACGATGGTTTTAGAGTTGTCGGCCCAAACAACCTCCACCTTACTGCTCACGTCCACTCTGGACACCTGACCCACTGACGTCTGAGGGGGGACAACAGACAGAGACAACCGTCAACGCTGCAGGATCTGCTGCGTTACCAGTAACATAAGATCTGCATTATTGAGGCTACTCCCCTGGGGTGAAATCCTACAGGGTTTTTTTTTCAACATTGCAAACATTTCCAGACACAAATTTTTGTGTAATTTTTGACATTTGAGTACAAAACTTTACAGTAAATGAACAAAACTTTACAGTAAATGAACAAAACTTTACAGTAAATGTACAGTACAGACTGAACACAATGTGGCCAGCAGGGAACAACACTTCAGAAACATGCACTAAGCTGATTGCCCGCCCCCCAAACAAAGCAAAACAAAAAACACGGAGGGATTTGAACAGCGAGTGTTTTGTAGTTTTCTAGATTAGTGTTTTTCTGGACAGGAATTGAACAGGGAATGGAAGTAAACCTTAATGTTTGTGGTGCAAGATATTCAAGACGACAGACATTACATTATCTTGTCCGAGGTGGAGCAGAGCAACGGGTCCTGGCGAGTCACAATAGCGGAGCCAGGTGGTGGCCAATGGTGGTCTTGGCCACAAAGGATTAATTTTCTGCCACACCCAACCATTTGAGGAAACTATACTTTAAAGCACTGTAAAAACTAAAAAGCATCATTTTCTCAAATGGTAGTGGTGGTATATATGTATGCATGCATACATGATAAAAATGGTAAATGGACTGTACTTATACATCACCTTTCTATCTAATCAAGACACTCAAAGCTCTTTACAACAATCTGTGCCTCATTTACTCATTCATACAGCTCTCCACTATTTATATACATCAGAGCTTTATCACATTCATACACCGATGGGACACACATCAGAGGCTATGAGGAGTTCAGTGTCTTGCACAGTGACACTTCAGCATGTGACTGCTGGTGGAATAAACTTGACCCACCCCCACCCCCCCACCCACCCCCCAACTCTCCCATTAGAGGAGGACAACTGCTCTAACCACTCATCCACAGCCGCCCAGTACATACATGCTGGTTTGCATGCACGCACACAGTTTCCCCTACCATTATACAAGAAGGGTGCCCCGCCCTGTCACCAGAACTGAGCACCCTGCCTACCAAACTGTCCCCCTCACCCACCCACAACTGCCAGCACTAATGTAGCGCTAAGCTAGTAGCGTGCAATGCAGACACGCTAGCTAAAAAGCTACAGAGGTGGTGCTTCGTCTCCCTCGTGCTGATCGTTTCCTTCAAACCTTGAAACACCTACAGACACGTTCAACTCTGATTTTCCTCCTCAGTGTCTCCCAACATAATAAGATTATTAAAAGTTAACATATAATGTAATGCACTGAGCTTCCTGTCCTCCACTTCCTCCATCTTTACAGTCATTTGTTCAGCCCCGAGTGAAACAGCATGCAGCTATTTTGACAGGAAGCAGAAAAAGAAAACGTTAACTTGCTGCTGATCCCAGACTTCTCTTCACCTCGTTCTCACAGTCGTTCTGTCCGTTCTCACAGTTCCATATTCTGATGACGATGTCAGTGGTGCGAAAATGGAAGTCTGGATGATCGGCGATGTCGTACACGCTGACGTCCTCCTCCACGCCCCCAACCTGGGTTGAAATAAAAAGTGGAGGTTTACGCTCGCATCGCGTTTCGTTAAATCTTCTCTTCCTGTGAAATGTCGCTGTGTCTGACCTCGACGTCGTCGCTGGTGGAGTTCAGTTTGATCCACTTAACGACGCATGTTCTGGCCTTGTGGTCGCCTGACTGGATCACACCGTACACTCCTGGGTCCTGCAGGCCTTCAGCTGAGGGAGCGCCCAAACACACGTGTTCACGGTTCAGAAAGAATAAACACGGTTAGACAAAACTGAAATAAACTCATAAATATGTGAAGGCAGAACAGAAACAGAAATTATTTTTCTAGTCAGCTGTAAGACCACAGCCTTCACAGGAAACTTGTTCTGATTAAATCTTATTCACAACTAAACATGTCAGACACACAGTATTGATTCTGCTGCGCCCTTTGAACTTGCCCTAAATATCTGGCAATTGTTTTTTTTACTACACGTCCTTCTTGACACAACCTGGGCTCAAACCTGCAGCCTCAGGATTACAAGACCGCGGCACTGACCACTGAGCTACCGCGACCGACAAACCTCCACACACAGTATGTCTGAAATATAACAACACAATTATTAAAAGATGTGAACAGTGTTTCCTCACGTCGTTTGTCTACTACGAAGTCCCCGGGGCAGAACTCGTGGCTGTCCAGGTGCTGAATGGGGATGAGGTCGTTGGATCGGATCCCCTTCTCCACCTGCCCGTCCTTCCACATCACATCAGCTGTGGTTTTTGTGGAAACGACTTCCACCGCCACCCTGAAACAAACAAACAAACAAAAAAACACTCATCACATTGTCACTAGAGAATGACATTTTTTCGGGAGTACCGCGGGTCACGAGATTCCAGAGGGATTCCGGCGGGACCGTAGTCAACTTCATTATAACTCACGTGACCGGACTGAAAGCTAATGGGAGCAGACAGGAGCGAGAACCGACCAATAACCAAAAAAGAAAATGAAACCAAAAATAAAAACCCGGGCGCAGCTATTTTGTAGTTTTCTTTCAGTAAGCCTTCACTTTAACACAAGTCAAAAGAACTACATTGCCCAGAAGTCAACTGTTCCAGCCAAAGTTTTTCACCGAGCAGCGAAGTCACCAAACCGAGTAGCTGAAATATTTTGCAATGCAAGGTAAGAAGTAACTGTCTGTCTATTAAACTCACAGAATGGGCAGAAAAGTGTCAAATAACCCTGAACTTCACGAGAGTTGTGTTGGTGCAAGCTGCTTGAAACGTCTCAGCTGCAGTGGAGCTGCGAGGAGTCGGACTTTGTTTACAGTCAGTAAATAAACTAATTCAAACAGCGCATATTTCTCCACTTTTTAACAAACAGACCACAGTTAGTGAGGATCCACAACCTCTCCTCCTCCACCATAACCCTCAGCACTGGCTTTCCTCAGGGATGTGTGTTGAGCCCCCTTCTGTTTACTCTGCTCACATATGATTGTGCAGCTACCCATCCGGGCTGTCACGTTGTAGGGTTTGCAGATGGTACAGCGGTGGTGGGATGCATCGCAAACAATGATGAGTCCAGCTACAGGCAGGAGGTGGAACACCTGGAGAGCTGGTGCAGAGAGAATAACCTTCACATCAATGTGAAGAAGACAAAGGAGATGATTGTGGACTTCAGAAGGAACAAAAACACCTACACCCCCCTGAACATACGAGGATCTGCAGTGGAAGTGGTCTCCAGCTACAAGTACTTGGGTGTACACATGAATGACAACCTCAGCTGGAGCAACAACACCACCAGCCTGATCAAGAAAGCTCATCAGAGACTCTACTTCCTCAGACGGCTGAGGCGAGCTGGTCTGGGAAGCTCAGTCCTCACCTCCTTCTACAGGTGTGCAGTGGAGAGCATCCTGTGCTCGAGCATCAATGTGTGGCATGGAGGCTGCACAGCTGCAGAAAGAAAATCTTTGCAGAGAGTGGTGAAGGCTGCACAGAAATCTGTTGGAATCAGTCTCCCCACCATCACAGACATCTACACCTCCAGATGCAGGAAGAGGGCCACCTGCATCATGAAGGACCCCACCCACCCAGCACACACACTTTTTGCCCCACTCCCCTCAGGAAGGAGGTTAAGGAGCATTAAGTGTAGAACCACTGGACTGAAGAACAGCTTCTACCCTGAGGCTGTTAGACTCATGAATCTCTAACTAGAATGGTCACTGTGAAAGGCCATATCGTGCTGCTGCTGATCTGTTTCATGTTGCTGCTGATCTGTTTCAATGTTGATGTGTCCATGCGTGCACATCTGCTCACAGACTCATGTTCATGTTTGTGCTGATGTTCAATGTTTTATGTTATGAGTGCTTAGTGTATATTTAGTTGATGTTTTTCTTAGTTCATATCTTAGATGTTATTACTGTTTTTCTTATACATTTTATTGTTGGATGTAACTGGGACCCTGCGTACATAATTTCGCTCCACCACATGTACCACATGAGGTGCGAATGACAATAAAGAAACTCTCACTCTGTCTCTGACTCTGACCTCGTCTCTTTTATATCCTGATGCATGCGCAATAATCCCTATATTAATAAACTTGTCCCTTTTCATTTAAAAATTATGCTCTGCTTTGTTATGTGGGTTTTTAGGTTAAAATCTTCATCATCAGTTGCTGTTTGTAATGTAAAAAAAAAACAACAACCGAACTCTACATGGTTAAAGTGCACGCATTCTCCGGTAAAAATATTCCTATTTTTATATTGTGACGTCCTGCTGGATACTGAAATGGAGGAAAATGTGAATAACCATCACTTTATTGTGTAAATAGTTACTGTCGGCTGTAACTATGTCAGTACAACAACAAACTTGTTAGTGAAAGCACTCTCTGTTAAAAATATCCCAGTTTTTATATGAAAGGCTGGTTACATATATATTATAATAACTGTTTTAGTTTTAGATTTAATATATGATGTGTACACTTATGTTGTGTTAAATTTTAGGCCAAGAGTTGGTTTTTCTCAGTTCATTTCTTCACACCAGGGGCGATTCTAGAAGCTCTTTTTAGGGGCTTTAGCCCCCCAGTGTTGACAATGGCTCTTGGCTTGAACCTACAGTGTGTATTAGCATTAGAATTATTGTAGGGGGGGCATATTGGTGTGAGGTCTGTGGGTCCTCCACCATAACTTTTTTAATAAAGTAGCTGCTATTTCCTGCATTCTGGTGTATTTTAACAGGTTTTAAAACATCTATGTTTACCTACATAAGTAAATACTTGATTCAATAACTGTTTTATAAAGCATGGCACAAGAAGTAGCACTAAGCTTTTTGTTTGTCTTTAATTTTATTTAATTTTTCTACCTAACACAGGAAGCTGTTAGCTCTGGAAGCAAGCTGTTAAACAGCTTTGGACACAAAGACCCTTGTCACACACTTCAACAGAGCAGGTAAGATACATCAAATAATGTAATGTCTGCCTGGTGAGGCTGATTAAATAATTATAAAATATGATAAGTGAAATAAAGAAAAATTGAGCTTCTGTAATTTATAATTGCAAATGTCACATTTTCTTGACTTAATTTCAATTGTAAATCTCTTGTTTTTGATAAAATATTTTTTCCAGAAGAAAGTCCAACAGATTGTAATTTGTAGTCACTGTAACCCTGTTTTGACTCGTGCACTGTCTTCCTTCACTTTTAGGTTCCACAAGGCTCTGGACTGGTCCAGCTGTGGAGAGATGAGGTGGAACACCAGACCTGCGATGGTCCAGTCTGTAAATGATGATCTGAAGTCTGGGAAGATGCACAACATCATGCTTCACCCTAACGAGCTCGTTACCTCGACCACATAGACTGAACTTCTTGAGGACCTCGTCCAATGTATAATAACGCCTTTAAACATTTTTATTTGTTGAGTTCTCTGCTTGGTACATTATTTTTCTTTTTTTGTTTGTTTGTTTGTTTAAACAATTTAAAACATGACAGTGATGTCACTGTTTAAACGAAACAATTGCTCAATAAATGAGTAAAATGCAACTTGTTATGTTTGTATTCTTTCATCTAAGGTAGACATAGTGTGACCCATGGACTGGTTTAGATTTTTTGTTTTTACTGTAACTGACCTTCAGAAGAGCCAGAAACAGAGACTCAGCAGCTGATCCTCTGTAGAAACATTATATGGACTACAGGCCATGTATTATTTGTTTTATGACATTTAGTGAAGGTTTTTGTTTGGATTAAGGAAATAAATGTCTCTATTTCACCACAGATGAACTGTTCCTGTTGCCATATCTTTTGAAATAAAACTACAGAACACAAAGTAATTTAAACAGGAATGAGTAGAAGATCAAATCAAAGTAAATATATTTCCTAAAAATTAAATGAAGAGAAAAAAACAGGAGCAGGACAGGAGTGGGAGTCATGTTACCAGGAGTGGGACAGGACAGGATTTTTTCTGTGGGACCAGGACAGGAGTGAAAATCCACTTCCTTGTCATCCTCTAATTGTCACAGAGCAGGAGTTTAAACAGACGTCTGGAAGGATGTCAACAAAACTTTGTTAATTTAGACCAGCTAAGAAAAAATTATGACTAAAACTCTTCTAAGAGACTAAATGTGCTACAAAAGCAAAGCAAAACCCAATTTAAAGGATAGTATCAATAGTAATAGTAATAGAAATAGAAGAATAGAAGAAGAGGGAGTTTTTTCTTTCCACTGTCACCTTCGTGCTCGCTCAAGATGAGAATCTGTGGAGTTCAATTCAAAGCAGTCTGCTCCTCAGATAATGTTAAATTATTATTTTTATATATATATGAATATTTCTGTTCAATGCCCTGAGATGACTTCTGTTGTGACTTGATGCTATATAAATAAACTGAATTGAATTATTAAAAATATATCAGTGTCAAACCAAGTTCATTTTTCAGCCACACTGATAAATGCCTTTTAATATGATTATTAAGTATTTTGGATGAAAGACGAAACATTTCTACAATATTTTGTTTGTTTGTTTTGTTTGTTTGTTTTTTGAACGTCCAGAGGACCCAACTTAACTTTTTTAGATTAATATTGGATCATTTTCCTCAATAAATAAATGCTCAAGTATAATATTTTGTCACATTTGTTTAAATGAGTTCTCTTCATCTACTTTTAGGACTTGTGTGAAAATTTGATGATGTTTGAGGTCAGATTGATGCAGAAATATAGACGATTATAAAGAGTTCACAAAGAATTCATGCACCGCTGTACCACCTATTTAAACATTTCAGTAGAAACATACGCAGCTCTGCATAAGGCAACTAAGAAAATAACTTGAGCAAATTGTTTAAACTCTCCTTTATCGTGCAAGAAGTTGATAATGACTGTAAGACACTCACCAACAAGCCCTCTGAATTATCACACCAATCATCTCTGTCTGTTGGGCATCATCTGTAACACTTTGATACCCTCATCATTCTTCATCTGGTTCTGTTGCATTAACTTTACCCCTAATGCTGTGATGAGAAGCTCTGAGGCTTAAATCCAGATAGTTACATCTACATATTCTTTAAAATCATCTTGAAGTGCCCAGTCTGTAAACCAGGAACAACCAAAGCTCAGAGCCTGGTGGAGAAGCTCAGGAGTGGATGAACACATTAAAAAGGGACTGGTCTGCTCGAGGTGACCCACCGGTCTCCAGGCTTGAACTCCCGGGAGAACTTGGTCCTCTTCTTTTTGTGTTTCCTCTTCAGGTTGCGGATGGAGAGAGGGATGCTCTTCTTGCGATTGGTTCCCAGGCCGCCGCTCTGAGACGAGGCCGTGGAGCTGGCTGATGATGTCAGAGAGCTGCAGCCCGTTTCACATACAACACAGAACATTTCTTTATGAGTGATGGTATTCAGCCTAGAACATTCAAACATATCAACTCTTACATCCTAAGGCAACAACTTTTGATGATATTTTATATTTTTGCACAACAACTTGATTAAGGGGGTAGTTCGAGGTGTTTATGGAACGGTTATACACAATACCTTACCTGCTGTAGATAGCTTTTTGAACAGCCTTTGTTTGGAGAAATGGATTTTAAATCTGAGCACATTATGTATGTGGGGTTAATCTAAAACTTGATAACATCTTGAAACAACTCCAGTAATAAAAACTCAACAAATTTCTAAACCTTTTTCATAAACTTTTACAACACTGTTAGTTTCACACTACATCAGGGTTAATCCAGCAGTTAATGTCATTAATTAAGCGTGTTTTACAGTTTAAATCTAAATTAATTTAAAAATTAACCCACTGGTGGGCTGAACTGAACCAATGGACCTGATTTGGCCCCCGGGCCACCAGTTGAATAGCCCTGCACTACATGGTTATTCACAGCAGATTTTGTGGTTATTCTGTAAACACAAAGAGCTGCAGCTAGATGAAGCACTTCCTGCAGACACTTTTATATTTTTATTGGGAAAAAAAACTGTGTAAAGCAAAACTGAAAGAAACAGGTTATATTATATTGGGGCAGCTGTGGCTGAGTGGTTAGAGCAGTCGTCCTCCAACTACAACTTATTAAAATCACCATTTATGTCATGTTACATAATTATTTAAGCAAATAATAATAATAAATTCCTGCTTAAATTGAACCTAGGCTGATGTGAATTTTTATCAAATAGTTCCTGAATGAACCACTGTGAACCTTTGAAAACTGAAGGTGTTTTAAGACTATAGCTGTCCAATGTGGGCTTGACTAGAACTCGACCGATATATCATTACGGCCGACAATTTAGGCCGATATAAACGTTTGGGGACATATCTGTTATAACTGTCCCATTATGCACCGATATAAACACTTCTAATTTTCATCCCTAAAATGCTGGAACCAGCTGCAATTGTACAATGTATCCAGCAGAGGGCGCACAAAGACTTTCAAGTCATAGCCGTTCACTTAACTTTCACTTTCAGCACAGCTGAAGCAGGGAGCAATACAGTGTAGTGTAGTTTGCTGAACAGAGGGAAGTTTATTTAACTTATCTGTAAAAATTAATAAATCAACAATAATAAATTATCTTCAATCCTCCAACCTGCTTGTCCTTAGCCATGTGCCTCTCAAATTAACAAGCTAACGTTTAGATAACCTAGCATAGGCTATTGTCTTGTGAAACTTTACCCAGAACAATAAATCTAACGTAGCAGTAAATATATATCAGTGTCAGTAACTTTATCTTTGTTGTCAATGAAATGTACTGATTGTCTGAAATCTTTACTTCTCTGCAAAGAAAAATAAGCTCTGCTGTGGTCAGTACTAATTAGACCTTCATCATACGTGACTGACTGTTTAAACAATGAACAGAGAAGGTGTTTCTTTGTTTAATTTATATTTATGTAACACAAGAGATAACTTTATGGTGAATAGTGGAGGATAGAAAATGTGAACACACATTAGGAAGTAGGGATGCACCGATCCACTTTTTTTAAACTTCCGATCCGATCCCGATACCTAAATCTGAATATCGTCTGATACTGATCCAGTTCCGATATCATGATCATCATTGATTTTATATGAGGCTGTAATAATCTCCTCTCAAGTACAGTTTGTACAAATATATGCATGCATGTCCAAAATGGCAACTTGAGGTAAGTTTTATTAAATGTTGGATAAGTTTAAAGTTAGAATTAAATTCTGTTAACACAAAACATGTTTCTTTTTATTCCTAGTTTTAAAGTGGATATTAAAGTGATTAATTTAAATGATTGTTTAAAGTTATTTTATATTTTTTTTAAATAAGGGGCAGATATAAGATTTTTCTTCTTTCTGCACTCTTTTCATTCAATGTTTTCTTTTTGATGATTTGTTTTGTTTATTTTGTTTCTTTTAAATTAATGAATAAAATAAAATGTTAAATGGCTTCAAACATCTGCTAAGTTCATGGCATAAACCAACAGACATGTTCCTGTTTTTAGTATTTTACATCACTTTATAATGTAGCTGTTTTTGTTTTTAATATATATAATTTTCAAATCATGTTTTTTTATGATTGTCTACTGCTGTACTGATAAAAATCCCCTGGAGGGTAAACTATATCTTGGCTGCAAGTATTAAACTGCAAAATCCTTCGTTTTCTACAACTGATAGTGGTTGATCATTAATTATGATGAAGTTTAGCAACTTCTCTGAAAACAATCGAGCTCCGGGGTTTCAGCGACGTCTTCTTCTTGTTCAATCCGAAGCAGGCAGCCTGATTTCGGTCAGCCACACTGAGTCTGTCCCTCCTCAGGGACGAGCAGATTTAGCGGGGCAGAGTGGACGCGGCTGGCCAGGGTCGAGTTGCCTGTTTCGGGTTGAGCAAAGAGCAGCGCCCCGCTGAAGCCAAGGAGCTCGAATGTCCAGCGACTCAGAACTTAAAGCCTCTGAAAGACCTCAAACTTTGTTCAGTTGTTTCATGCTCATCAACCCGCTGTTCAAAGGTGTTCTTTCTAAAAATGGATTTTTGTAATTCTCAGAAGAAAAACATTTATTTTTTAATATCAGATCATGCTGAATTCACAGAGGATCTCAAGATCAGGCTCATGTGCCTCCCACTGTCATGCACTGAAACCTGGGTACAAAGAACCAATAAAGAAGTCGTTCTCAGACCTGGTGTCATCTGTATCCTCTGCAGCCTCGTCATCAGCATCCTGCTCCCCGTGTTCTGCCGTGGTATCGCCGGTGTTCTTGGAGTCTGTCGGGTTCACGGGGCCGTTGTTGTTGGGGTGAGATGGTTCAATTTGCTCAGATTTGTGCTCTCCTGGTGGGAAAATAAAAAGGTGTGCTAGGATTTTAACAAACAGGACGGCAAACTGCACTTAAAAAACAAAAACTCAGTCCTCAGCTCAGCAGGAGATGTGAAATATTTCTACCTGGCTAGAGAGGATGACAACTTCTGTAGTGAAGTTTATATTTAAGATGTTTTAATAAAGGCAGCAGCTGAGCTCAAACAACTTTATGTTATTTTCACTGATGCACAATAACCCTTCAACTTCCTGGACAAGAATATTCCAGCATGCTGCACTCCAGCATCATGTCCAGTTAGTCCGCTCTCACGGCGCTCAGCTTTACTGGTGGAAAAGACGGACGGATGTTTCACAGAAACTGCTTTGGATGCAGAAAATTACAGCTCAACTCGTGGAGGAGTGATAAATATTTAACATGCATCAATGAAAACCTTATAAAATAATTCAGAGCAGCATTTGTTGTTATAAAAATTAATACTTTTATTATTAACTATTACTATTATTTTATTATTAATACTTTTTCTCAACAATTTACAATCAGTACTCCATAATGAGAAGTAACATGAAAACAAAGTATTACATTCTATAGATTTGTTTAATAAAATATCGCATTTCCATAAGAATATTTTGCACACTTTAGCTCAAGTGCCTCCCATTTTCCCTGATCTCTGCTGACTCATTTCTACACTTTGACTGTACTCTATCTGACGTAAATCAAGTCGATTGGACGTGATTTGGAAAGGGGTAGCACGGTGGCCCAGTTGGGAACTGCTGTCTCTCAGCGAGAAGATTGCTGGATCGAATCCCAGCTGGGACCTTCCAGGATGTAGTTTGCATGTTTTCTCTGTGCATGTGTGGTTCTATTTCATCCCTCCTGACCGCCAGAGGGTGGTGCTGAAAGCACTGAATGTTCCCTTCGCGCATGCGCTGTTCGAGTAATAATACCAACGGAGTCACAGGTGTGACACGGATGACCAATCAGAGGCTACATAGCCTGATGTCATCCGTAGCTCTGCTCCTTTTTTTTTCTCGCACGCGGTTCAATCCAGGGCTTCAGCCCTTGGACCTTTTCACCGTCGTCGGAGGCCCGACTGCCCATTGGCCCAACTGCCCGTTGGCCGGAGCAGCGTGTTTGCCCTCCTAGGGGCCGCAACGGTTTAGCCTTCGTTCAAGGTATTTCTACTGTTTGTTGGGGACTACGGCGGCTTTCGCCCCTCTCCCAACTTACAGCGTCTGACTACTGTGTGTGTGTGTGAGATTCAACACAGATTCAACGAAGCCAAGATTCAACTTGTCTGCTGGATTCCTTAGATAGAGAACTTTACTAATTGGCTTTTATGTATGTGAATGTTTCTGTAAAGTGCCCTGAGACAACTTTGTTGTGATTTGGCACTATATAAATAAACTGAATTGAATTGAACACTGGCGAGTAGTCTTTTACTTCTATTTTGCCTTGGTTAGCGGCTTTGTCCGCTCTGTTGGAGGCGACTACTGTGTGTGTGAGACTCAAAACCGGTGAGTAGTCTTTTACTTCTATTTTGCCTTGGTTAGCGGCGCCGTCCGCTCTGTTGGAGGTCTCCAACCGCGAGGTCGATTTGGATTATGCTCTGAAATTAATTAAGTAACCAGCTGTGTTCTGGTCTCATTTTCTAATTTGTGAAGGCTAGCGTTGCGCACCTTCTCCTAATCGTTTTCACCAACCTCATAAACTGTTGGACCGAGCTAGGCTAGTGGTGATAGCCTCCCTACGTTCTGGCCTTGTTTTCTATTGATAAGGGCTAGCGTTGCGCACCCTTTTCCAATCATTCTCACCAACCTCGTACACGGTTGGACTGAGCTGGCATCACTAGCCGCTCTGAGTTTTGGCCCTGTTTTCTATTGGTGAAGGAAAGTGTTCGCGCCCCCTCTCCCAATCACATCTCATAAGCGGTTGGACAGGGCTAGCTGTGCTAGCCTTTCTGAGTTCTGGCCTCGTTTTAATTGGTGAAGGCAAGTGATGGTGCCCCCTCTCAATTCTTAGCCTATCCTTTCATCCTTGTTTGCGTCCTGTATCTTGGACATAACTGGCGGTGCCAGCTCCTTTGCTGAGTTGCGTTTTTTTAATTGAGTGGAGGCCCTGTCAGAGAACCCCTGCATGAACTGCGGCTTCATGCCTCGTCCTGCGAGGGTGACTCGGCTGGCCCAGTTTCGCCCCGAGCTCGGCAGTGACCTCCCGTCTTCTGCGCAAGAGGCTCCACCTAGGCGCCCGAAGCGCCAGACTGAGGCCGCAGTCTCTGTGGCCCCTCCTAGAAAGAAGCGAGCCAAGTCTGATCAGGGTCTCTCCACGAGGGTGGAGCAGCTGTCCACAGAATTGGCGGAGATGAAGTCCCTTTTTCAGGCACGCCAACTGGGGGCTGAGCCAGTGGCAGCGACCAGACTCTCCTCCCCACCCACACCCGAGTTGGCTGTGGGGGAAGAAGTGCTATCCTTGGCTGCCTCTGCCTCTCACCGTTTTAGGCGAGGAGGAACAGTCATCTCAAGTCTCAGAGACTGGTTCATTTTCTTCGTCTCGGACCGCAGCTAGTGGGTCAGATGACGCCTCAATGTAGGACGTCATGTGTATGGCCCTGAGACAACTACAGCTGGTTGTCCAGCAACCAGAGGAGTCCGAGACGGGCCCCTCCTTCCTTTTCTGTCCCTCCATCGGAGGAGTACCTGAGGGAGTTGCATGGTTGTTGGCGGGACCCAAAGGTCTTTGTGCACCTCTCCGTGGATGGCGGAGTGTTGGTGGCTATGCATAAGCCAGCTGCAGCGGGCTTGGAATGTATGCCAGTGTTCGAACCTGTTGTTGCGTCACTCATCATGTCACCAGAGGAAGTTCTGCACAGTGCCGTTTGGTGCCTGTCCATGCACAACAGACAAGGCAGCAGTTTTCAGGCCTTAGCAGGGCAATGCCCCCTCCACAACCAAGGCGCCCGTCAGCTGATCCCAGCATTCAGCCGCCACCTCGGGGTCACGATCGGCCGAGTGGTTACCCTCATGCGGTTCAGCAGAGACCCGACAGGAGCTTTCGTGAGTCGGTCCACCAACCAGCTGGGCAGGTTGGACTGGGGACTCTGGCCGCCCCGCCCCACCCCACGCCCCCCAGGAGCCATAGAGAGAGACGTTGATGCCACCGGGCCGACCGTCAGATTCTCCTCCCACCAACAGCTCAGTTAGTGGACGGCTCATGCCGTGGACCCATGGGTGGTTGCCACTCTGACCCAAGGTTACCAACTACAGTCCCGACGGCAGCCTCACAACTCACGCCGGGTCAAGGTGACTATAATTGCAGACCAGGTGAAAGCTCAAGCACTAGACCAGGAGGTTTTTTTTGCTCTCCTGGCCAAGGGTGCAATCGAGGCAGTGGACCCTCTGTAACAACCCAGAGGCTATTACACGACTAACTTCCCCGTGCAAAGAGGATGGCGGGTATGTCTTCTTTTAGTTCTGAGGGGACTCAACCAGTACTTAAGGGTGCTGCCCTCCCACAGGCTCATGACAGCAGAGGTCCTTCAAGCTGTCACGATGGGAGAATGGTTCACATCTATAGACCTGAAAGATGCTTATTCTCATGTACCTATTGCGGCAGGACATCGCTGCTTTCTCAGGTTTGCCTATCGGGGTCATCACTGGCAGTTCTGGGTACTCCCATTTGGGCTCTCTCTTTCCCCGAGGGTGTTCAATCGGTGCATGAAGGCAGCCCTCTCCTCTGCAGGCCTACGGAGTGAAGGTTATGCTATACTAAATGATTGGCTTCTCTGCGCCCTGTCTCGGGCCTGTGCCTTTCGCGACACTAATCACCTGCTTGCTCATGTGTCCCAGTTGGGCCTTAATGTCAACCTGGAGAAGAGCTGCCTGATCCCTTCCCAGACGCTCACCTTTCTTGGGTGGCTCTAGATTCACCCTCCATGAGAGCTTGCCCATCCGCTCAAAGGGTGGGCAGCATACTCCATTTGGTCAGTCGGTTCAGGCTTGGCAGGCAGCTCCCCTATGTCACCTTCCAGCAGCTACTAGACAACTGACGTCAGTCACTTGGGTGGTGCCCTTAGGCTCGCTGTCACTTCACCCCTTGCAAAGGTGGCTCAACAGCTTTGCCTGGATGCCAGGCTGCTCAGGTATCACAAGCGCACAGTGACATGGTCATGTCTCGTGTCCTGACTATATAGAGGGACAAAGATTATTTGTCCAGGGGTGTCCCCATGGAAGTGGTAGTGTGTCGCAGGGAAGCGGTCATGACGGATGCCAGCTCCATAGGATGGGGCGCTGTGTGACAACGCAGAGCAGTTCAGGGCCGCTTGGGTCAAAGGACCGCTCCAACCATATAAAGGTGCTGAAGCTGCGTGCACTGCATTTGGCACTCGGGTACTTCCTGCCCCACCTGGAAGAGGGACATGTTCTCATTCGGTCAGACAACACCTCTGTTGTCTACCACATCAACCACCAGGGGGGCACCAGGTCAGCACAACTTCTGAGAGTGTCCAAAGAGCCCTTTGAATGGGCCTCTCCTCACCTGTCCACCCTGCTGGCGGCATACTTACCAGGGCGACACAGTCAGGCTGCAGACTCTCCCCCCATCAGGGGTCTGCTCTGGGAGAGTGGTCCCTCCACAGCAACATAGTGCTGATGATCTGGGAACGTTTTGGTCAGGCAGAGGTAGACCTGTTTGCAACAGAAGAGTCGACTCAGTGTCCCCTATGATATTCCCCTACTGGGGCGCCAGGTACGCTGGGCCAGGACGCATTGGCCCATCCTTGGCCAAGGGTCCTCCTATATGCCTTTCCACTTCTTTCTCTAAATTGGTCAACCCTTCAGGGAGTCCTCAAGGAGGGCCACAAGATGCTGCTGGTGGTTCCGTATTGGTCGGCATGACCATGGTTCCCACTGCTATGGAGTCTATGTCAAGGTGTCCCATGGTGTCTTCCGACCAAGAGAGACTTGCTGTCTCAGTTGGGGGGACTGATATGGCACCCCAATCCTCAACATCTTTGGCTGTGGGTGTGGCCACTGCAAGGCTAGAACAGCAGCTGATTGGAGTTTCGAGCCCCGTCAGATGCACCATCCTGGGCGCCGGGGCACCCTCTACTCGTCAGCAGTATGAAAACAGGTGGCGTCTGTTTTCCCAATGGTGTTCTGATCACAATGAGGATCCAGTCTCCTGTACAGTACCCACCATTCTGGAGTTTCTCCAGTCTCTCCTTGGTAAGGGATGCTCTCCTTCGACGCTTACAGTTTATGTAGCGGTAATATCATCTAATCACGCTGGCATCAATGGTCGTATGGTGGGGAGCCATGATCTAGTCTCTCTTTTCTGCGTGGTGCCCATAGGTTGCACCCGCCGACAGCTCCACGAGCACCAGGTAGGGATCTGCCCTTGGTTCTCGAAGCTCTCTGCTGCCCTCCGTTCAAATCTCTGGCGCACGAGGACCTCAAGTGGTTTTCGTGTAGACAACCTTTTTGTTGGCTATGGCCTCAGCAAGAGGGTCTGCGAGCTACATGCTCTCTCTCAGCTCCTCATGTCTCAGGTGGGGCCCTGAGGGCTCTGACGTTACTTTGTGGCCAAACACTGTATTTGTACAAAGGGTGTTATCTCACTCTAACTGTAACCAACCGTTGAGGCTGGCACGTTTTCAGCCTACACCTGGCGAGGGGTCTGGATTATTGTGCCTAGTGAGAGCACTGGAGGCATACGTTGCAGTTCCTGCTGTTATATGACGTTCAGACCAGCTGACTGTGTGTTACAGAGGCCCTAAGTTAGGCTATCCTCTTTCTAAACAGCCCCTCTTCCACTGCATCATGGATGTCATCTGCCACATCTACGCCACAGGGCACAGCCCCCTGCCGGTCGGCGTGAAGGCACATTCTACCAGGAGCATTTTCACTTCCTGGGCTGTCCTGAGAGGGGTTCTGATGGAAGCAATATGTGCTGCCGCATCATGGGCTTCCCCAAGCATGTCACCAGATTCTACAGAGTGAATGTGGCCACCCCTCATCCCCTGGGCCAGGGTTTCTGCAAGGGTCCTCTGGGCCTCCTCAGTGTGGTGTGTGCTCAGGATTCCTTGTGACATTGTTGGTATTAGTCATTCAGTGCTTTCAGCACCGCCCTCTGGCGGTCAGGAGGGATGAAATAGAACGAAAGTTACGTATGTAACTACGGTTCTATGAATCCCGGATGACCGCCAGAGCTTCTCTGTCACTCAGAATCCTTGCATTCCGTGAGAAGATTCTGTAGGAGCAGAGCTGCGGATGATGTCAGGCTATATAGCCTCTGATTGGTCATCCTTGTCACACCTGTGACTCTGTTAGTATTATTACTCAAACAGCGCATGCGCGAAGGGAACATTCAGTGCTTTCAGAACCGCACTCTGGCGGTCATCCGGGATTCATAGAATCGTAGTTACAAACGTAACTTTCTATTTCATCCCACAGACCAAAGACCAGTGTTTCTCCTAGAGTGCTTGCCTTGGCTGGGAGCTCATATCTTCTGTGATTTTTGTCAACCAGGGAGGGGGGAGAGACGGGCGCTGTTTGTACCTTCAGTTTTCAAGTGGAGGGATGGAGATGGCTCAGCATGAGGGCGACGACAGAGAGCTACCTCCATAGTCGTTGCTTTTTTGCTAGCACATCTGTATTGTGCTACGTCAGTGCCGGTAGTTGTCTCGACGGAGCCGGAGGGGGGTAGGCATGGCACTCAGTTCTGTTGACAAGGCTTGTCACTATGTCAGAAATGATGGTTTCAATCTTGCAAATGTGTCTAAAGGGGTGTTTTCAAGCTTGCCAATGTGTGAGAAGCAATGTTTTCAAGCATATAAATTATGTCCATCTGTTGACAAGGCAGGGCGTCCTGTTTGTATAATGGTAGGTAACCAAAAACCAAAAGAACTGAGTCAGGGTTGTTAAAGCACATGGCTGGAAAAGATTCTTCAGAGCTCAGTGGCCTTAATAATTATCAAATGAAACAGGACTGGCAAAACCACGACTTTTCCAAAAATCTGGCTACACTAAGCAAACTGAAAGAGAGGACCCTTAGAGAGAGGTGACCAATAACCTGATGGTCACTCATTCCTGTGTGGAGACGTGGAAACTTCAGTAAAACACCTAAAGGCCACTTGAAGGACTCTCAACACAAGATGTTCTGTTCTGATGAAGACTACAATGTCTGGTCTTGGTTCTGAACATTATATCTGGAGGAAACCAGCCCACTTGCATAATACCATCCCAACAGTGAAGCATGTTGGGGAGCAGAACAATACTGTGGGGGGGTATTTTTAATGAAAACCTGTTCCACAGGGCTCAGAATCTCAGACGGGATCAAAGGTTGAGCTCCTAACATGACAATGACCCAAATCACACAAAAGACCCAGAGGAAAGGCTTTGAGGCAGTTCTGTGAATGTCCTCGAGTGGACCTGCCAAAACTATGACTTGAATTTTATTGAGCATCTCTAGAGAGTCCTGAAAATAGCTCCACTAACAGTCCTCATCCATCTGGACTGAGCTTGAAAATATTTTTGCAGCAAACCTAAAGCCCTGAAGCTGAAGGTGCTTCACCTCAGGACCAAGTAAAGGCTCTGGAAACTCAAATTAACGAGAAGCTATTTTAAAATATTTATCAAAATGAAACTGTATAAAGTTCAGTTTTCACTTTGTCATTATAGAGTACTGAATGCAGATTGAGAAAAAAAAAGAATTAAGACAGTTGTAGTATCAGGCAGCAAGACAACAATAATAAGGATAAGTCAAGCTGTTCTAAAAAAGTTAAGTCTGGTCCTCTGGACATTCAAAGAATTTTTTGGAATGTCCAGAGGACCAGACTTAACTTTTTTAGATTTTTCTACCTGGATTATTGAACATGCATCAGGATAAGACAAGCGGTTATTTCCGTGTCTGTTTGGCACCTTGTAAGTCAACATTTTCCATCTTCTTCCCAGTCTCCTTCTTGAACATCCTCTTCAGCTGCAGAAAAACATGCAGACTTTAAGAGTTTTAACTTGATCAAATCTTTACCTATAATTTGAAAGGTCTTTAAATATTTAAACAGTACATCATATGACATGTTATGGACCCATCAACATACTACTATATAGCAATCTATAGCAATGGCCAGGACCAGCAAAGATCGTGTATAGCCTTTGACCTTGACCTTAAAACTGGGGTGATGGAAAGATTATGTGACACGCTGTCAAGTGGCGGTACAAATTAGAGCCTGACGGATATATCGGTAGGGCCGATATTTTAGGTCGATATAGGCATTTGGGGACATATCGGTGATAAATGTCCCATTAGGCACAGATATAAACACTGAGAACAAGCCGTACTTACTTTCAAAAGGTGCAATTGTACAATGTAACCAGCAGAGGCCGCATGTGGACTACTTTCAAGTCATGACTGTTCACTTTAAGTTTCAATTTCAGCACAGCTGAAGCAGCGAGCAATACTGTGTAGTGTATTTTGCTAAACAATTAAGTTTATTTTAACTGATCTGTAAAATAAATCTACAATAATAAATTCCCTTCAATCCTCCAACCTGCCTGTCATTATGTGCCTCTCAAGTTAGCGAGCTAACATTTAGATAACCTAGCATTGGCTATTGCCTTGTAAAAACTTTATCCAGAACAATAAATTTAACGTAGAGGTAAAATAAATCAGTGTTAGTAACTTTATCTTTGTCATCTTCAATTAAATGAGTTGTTTCAACTTCTCTGCAAAAAAAAGAAAAAAACTCTGCTATGGTCAATACTAATTAGAACTTTATCATATGTGACTGACTGTTAAAACTATGAACATGGAAGAATGCTTCTTTGTTTAATTTATATTTTTGTAACACTTAACTTTATGGTGAATATTGGAGGATAGAAAATGTGAATGCACGTTAGGAAGACTGTTCAAAACAGGACTAAAAGTAGATGTTTACTGAGATTCTTGGGGGTGGACAAAGCTCAAAAAGTTTCAGCCATTCTATCAGTTATCAGCATTAGTCTTCCTCTTCCTATATCAGTATTGGCAATATACACAATTCCCATATCTGTCAGGCTCTAGTACAAATATGAATTGAGTTTTGTTAAATTATCTTGAGCGGATCAGAAGTTATTGGTGGACAAGCGAAAGTTTACTCACTGACAGGCTGTACTGTAATACGTGCACTTTTCAACAGGCGTATAAAAAAACACTTTCAGCAGTCGTCTTTTTATCCAAGACTCATTGTCAAACCTCAAACTTTGTGCACAACAGGGAATATTAAAGGGTTCATGTGCTTCTACTTCACAATGGAATAAAATACAAATTAAATGAATGTATCCACACCTTTCTGGCAACGGGGTCCTCTGGCAGAACAGGAGCCCCCTCGGGTCCATCGCAGATGATGCGGGTGGCGTCGCTTTTGGCCGGGAACACGTAGAGGGCCCTTTCTCCCAGTTGCCTCTGGGTGTGGTCGTAGTAGCCCAGACGTCTCACTCTAAAATCAACCAGGAGGTCCATTTACTCAAACACCAAACAGCCGGTTTTATGTACGACTTTGTGTGAAACTATAATCTAACAGTTAATAAACTAAGATTACTTGGAAAACCTTTACAGAGAATCTTAAATACCTCAATATTACAATTAAATCCACCAGCACAAGCTATAATTACAGTCAGTGCATAAGATAAAGACAGGAAGCCTTACTGGACCGAGGTACACCCAGATGCTGCCTGATGGAAACACCCACACTGACCTGTGAAGATTTTCCTGTGTGATGGTGGAGGGAGGAGGATAAACACTGTCTGAGCCTTTGGGGGAGTAGCTCTTTGTGATCCACGTCACTTTTAGCTCCACCACCTTCACCTGAGGGACGCACGTCTCCAAATGAGCATTTAAACACTTTAAGATATCATAAATTATGTAAATGAAGCTCACTGAAATGTAAAAATAAAGTAGAATAAAGGAGAAATGATCAGTCTTACCTCTTCTACCACCACTCTGAACTTGCACTTCCTGCTCAGCACAGGTTTGACCCCTGACAGCCACTGTACATTTGAAAAAACTTTGGCCGGACCAATCAGAACCTGGCCTGGGTAAAAGCCATAGGCCTCATCAAAGAACAAACCCTGAAAAACAAAGCATAGAAAACATTCAGCCAAATGATGATTACATCACCTAATGTTTGTTTGTTTGTTTATCAGCTGCTCTTTCTGCAGCGAGTGAACTCACATGAAAGATTTGGAAATTGTTTTACACCAGATTCCTGACAAAACCTGGACTCAAAGACTACGACACTTAAGAACATTTTATGTTGCATGATCAAATATGTAATGATCAACTTGTTACAAAGTTAAATATGTTTACAACACAACATGAAGTTAAATGGACACTTTCTGTAAATGAAAACTTTGGCTAATCTTTGTGCAGAAATATGAACCAATGTCTTTATTTTACAGGATCAGATGGTCTGAGCTCCTCCAGCTCGGTCTTACAGGGTTGGTATAAATTATACAACAAAGAAGGAATTAAAAAATAAAAGCAGCGGTGATACTTTGAATAACGTCTCAAAAAACTGCTAATTTAATCCTTTAAACTCGCAAACTTCCTACAAACTCCTCTTCCACTGCCTCCACCGAATCATCAGCCCCCATCATTGTCCATTGCCGCGGCCATTTGTATCATCATGCTGCTAACAGAACCACATTGCTAACAATACCAGTGTTTTTATAACACTACTTTTATTTTAGTTGCTTTTTATTGCTTCCAAGTTCATGCTCAATAATCCAGGTTAAAAAAAATCCAACAAAGTCAGGTCCTCTGGACGGTTTATGTTGAAACGTTTAGTTTTTCATCCAAAATACTTCATCAGTCCGAGGAGCTGCAACAAACTCGGTCTTAAAAGCGAGACTGAGTTCGTTGTGGCTCCTCGGACTGATGAAGTCTTGTGGATGAAGACGAAATGTTAACAAACAAAAAAAGTCCAGAGGACCAGACTGAACTTTGTTGGATTTTTATTGCTGCATATTGTTCTGTCTAAAACCGCTCTTCTGTGAGGTACTTTGTACCGAGTCATCCTACTTGCACCGTTGTATTCTACCATGTGGGGAGTGGTGGCACAGAGGTTAGAGAAGAAGGGCCTGTGATTGAAAAGTTGCAGGTTCAACTCCTTGGACTGACAACATCAAAATGTGGGTGGAAAAGGTGAGACACCCACATCTGCCTCCACCCTCATTTGCCCCACTCTGGGATCTTGAGCAAGCCCCTTAACCCCCACCATCTGCTCCCAAACAGGTCTTACTTGAAAAGGAGTTCTCGTGACTCGATGAGACTACCTGTATAAATAAAGGGTAAATACATAAATGTTGTTTACTATGTTTCTTTTGGGTCTTGTAGATGTATTTCTTTCTCACTTTTTGGTGCTTTGTTTTGCATTTTTGTTGCATGCTTTGGTATTTCTTCTTTGTTTTTGTTTTTTGGCGAGTCGAGACGGTTCTCCTCTTCATGAACATTTCATTGCATTGTTGACCTGAATATGACAAATAAACTAAACTACTGGACAAGATTTTTGCCCCCAAAAAATTAATAAATGAAATTATAAAACTCAAAACTATTATATTCATACAAAGCATGAACTCTGTTCATCTAGATTGATTCTTCCAGTTCATTATGTTGTTGTGAATAAATACAATTATTGGAGGTAGAGCAGCAGAACAGAACTTCCGGCTACGTACCGAATCACTGACATGCGGACAGACATCGTAAAGTTTGGCACCGTCTTCCACACTCATGGAGCACCTGGAGAGGGGCAGACAGGAGGACTGGTGAATGGGACCCGACACATTGTGACTGAGCAGGTCTGTGATGTCACGCACTGTTACCTGGCTCCATTGGACAGCTTCAGGATGATGTGATTGGTCAGGTCGTACACTTTGCCCAACCAGAAATCATAGGCGATGTAGTCCCCGTACATAAAAGACTGAAAAGACAAATTCCTTCGGTTTTACATCTTATTTTACACACAACGACTTTAATAGTCCAACACTGTCAAAGTTTATGATTCATGCGCTTCTTCGTTTACTCATTCAAGTCTTGTCCAGAAAATTAAACACAACTGCAGGCTTCCTGCACATTTCTAAACTCCACACTTTAGTTTTATATGTACAAAAATATATATATACGTCTGGGTTTTGACCACAAAGCTGCATGAGTACATGCACCTCCATGAACCAGTAGGAATTAATTAATCTTCATATTCCCAGAACAAACAAGATACAAAAGATGGACGGTAGGAGAAAACATCATATTTTTTTAAAAGCTCCTGTAATGATTCTATGGAGCTAATGACATCATCTTCAGCACATTATTTTCACTTTATGAACTTTTAGTCAGGTGGTTTCTTTACAACACCCGCTCACTCCCGTCCTTTGAAAGTATCGGTTTCTGCCATTGTAGTTTATTTTGAAAGGATTATAAAGTAGTAACTATGGTAAGCTCAGCTTCACTGTTGGACTACAGGCGTCCCCCTCCACCTCAGTCCACTGAATGGGTGAACAGGATTTTTAAAAAGTCCCCCAGTTAGCAGAATTAGCATCAGAATGTCTTTGTACCCAACATCTGTTTCATTTGACAGTTCCAGCTGCAGGAGTTGGGGTGAGTAAACTTTATTTCACCAGAAGCTTTCATCTCAAATCTGTGAACACTTATTTTTACAGCAAAAAATAATTTGCTACTTTTAAACAGTAGTGTTGTTGGTGCGCTGAAAATTAGACTTTAATAAATAGTCCAGCATGCGTAAAAGATTTCATTAAAAAGCATTGCTGAAGCATAACTTGCTGAATGTTGGCATCGTGTTTGGAGTGAAGGCTGAGAGGGGAGGGGGGCGAGATGCTTGGGTGGTGGTGATATCTGAAGAAAATAATCCACTACTGATGAATTCAGAGATTTTTGTGTTCAAATGCACGCCCTGCTCTCAGATACTTGTAAAATAAAATGAGAACATTAGGCCCATCAGACACCAGGTCTCACCCAGATGGGCTGCAGGTCTTGGCTGTTGACTGGATACAGAACACAGTTCGTTCCCACCAACTTCACTGCACATTCAATGTCGATGTTGGTCACAATACCACACTGGTTGTCCTGAAACACAACACAGACACACACACTGTTCATGTTACATGATCACCTTCATGATCCAGAAAACAAACGTCCAACAGAACGCCGTTTCCTGTAAACAATAAAAAACACTGATGTCCCCCGTCACCAAGGGATTTGAATAGTGAATGGATGGATGGATGGATGGATGGATGGATGGATGGATGGATG